CATTTTAATTTTTTTTTAATATATTTTTTTTCTCTTTATGTTTTAAAAACGTATTTATTTATTTATTTATTTAGGCGGCGGTCGGCCCCCCTTCCCGGGGGGCCCGCCCCCTTTTTTTTTTTTTTTTTTTTTTTTTTTTTTTTTTTTTTTATTTTTTTTTTTTTTTTTTTTTTTTCCCTTTAACGCCTCCCTCCCTCTCCGAAACCGGCGTGCGAGTGGCAATTTAAGCCTTTTAAGAGCAGTTAAATCCCAGTTCAATCACGGCGCGGCTTTCGGGCAAGCGCCGGTGCGCCCCGCTCCGCGCTGCCCTGCGGAGGGAGAGGCTGGGGGGAGACGGGGAAAGTTCGGGCAACCTGTGGGGCTGCGATGGCGGGCCGGGGAGGGGGGGGACCTCAACCTGCCACCCTTATCTGCTTTTTCAAACGCTTGGTGTTTAAATTAAAATAAATTTAAGAAGGAAAGGAAAAAAAAAAAGTTGGAAGGGTCTTTGGAGGAGTTGAGGCTGGAGGAGAGGCGTTCAGCCGCATTCCCCTCTCTTCCTAAATACTCTCCGGATTTATTGCCTTTAAAATATGATTTAGGTACAATATAACCACTGTGCCCACAGTATGGATTTTTATAACTACATTTCTTTAAAAATGAAATTCATGTCAGATTATGCAGTTAAAGGAATCGACCTTGATAGCTTGCTATAATAAAACTATATCAGCTTGTAATAAATGCGGATTATAGCAAAGCAAGCTCCAGAATTAAAATTCCCTGAATCAATATATGAAAATCTGTAGGAAACATCTCTAATCGTATTAAGTTCATCTTTATAGCATTTCCTATCTGCTAATCTAGTGCAAAAAAACAACTCTGGGTTGGAGGAATTTATTTTCTTCTATTCAACGTTGCTCCTGTAATAGCTTTTGATAGTATGATGCAAGGGAGATAACAATATTAAATTCAGTTACAAGTTTATTTCTTTTTTTTTTTTTTTTTTTTTTTTTTAATTCAGAAGGGAAACAGGCAGCGAACCTCGCGTCCTGATTTACTTTAAACTTTTTTTTTTTGCGTGGGAAGCCCGTGGGGCTGGGGCGATGGGGTGCTGAGGGGGCGATGGGGTGCTGAGGGGCTCGGCGGAGAGTTTGGGATGCAGAGCCGCAACTTTTAAGAATTATCTGCCCGGGAGAGAAAAGGGACGAAGGTGAAAAATCGGACAAACCGGTGGCGGTTTGAGGCGGTGGCGGTGGCCACGCTGCTGTCACAGCCGCGGGTGCGGGACACACGCGTGTCCCCCGCAACCGCAGCCCCTCTTTTTTGTGGCCGGCGCGGGGTGTCAAGGGCCGGCGGGACGATTTGGGGAATTATTTTAATCAACAGCACAATCAATCCGAGTCCGTCCGCCGCGGGAGCTGGCGGGGGAG